GTGGGCGCGGGGGCGGAGATGTATGCACTGGGGGTGACGAATGCGGTGTCGGACGAGGTGTTGTTGGAGCTTGTGAATGGGGAAGCGTCGCACGTGTTGCGGGCGGCTACGCTTCCGGGGTTGATGCAACGCGATGTGCAGCAGGAGGCGCTGAGTTTGGTGGTGTGCGAGGCTGAGGCGGGATCAAGCAGTACGAGCAGTACGTCCAGTACGAGGAGTACGTCCAGTACGAGGAGTACGTCCAGTACGAGGAGTACGTCCAGTACGAGCAGTACGAGCAGTACGAGCAGTACGAGGAGTACGTCCAGTACGAGGAGTACGTCCAGTACGTCCAGTACGTCCAGTACGTCCAGTACGTCCAGTACGTCCAGTACGTCCAGTACATCGAGCACGTCTAGCACGAGCAGTACGTCTAGCACGTCGAGCACGTCTAGCACGTCTAGCACGTCCAGCACGTCCAGCACGTCTAGTACGTCCAGTACATCGAGTACGAGCAGCACGTCCAGCACGTCCAGTACATCGAGTACGAGCAGCACGTCCAGCACGTCCAGCACCTCTAGTACATCCAGTACATCCAGTACATCCAGTACATCGAGCACGAGCAGCACGAGCAGCACCTCCAGTACATCGAGTACGAGCAGCACGAGCAGCACCTCCAGTACATCGAGTACGAGCAGCACGAGCAGTACATCGAGTACGTCTAGCACGTCTAGCACGAGCAGCACGAGCAGCACGAGCAGCACGAGCAGCACGAGCAGTACATCGAGTACGTCTAGCACGTCTAGCACGTCAAGCACGAGCAGCACGAGCAGCACGAGCAGCACGAGCAGCACGAGCAGCACGTCTAGTACGAGCAGCACGAGCAGCACGAGCAGCACGAGCAGCACGAGCAGCACGAGCACGACTAGCACGACGAGTACGACGGCTGTGCCGCTGGGTTGTGTTCAGAACGCGGTGGCAACGTCTGAGCGTGTGGTGGATGTAGTGCTCGTGCTGGACTCGAGCGACTCGCTGCAGGCGTCTGGGTGGGAGCAGGTTGTTGCTTTTGCACAGAGCGTGGTGAGCGGGATTGAGAGGATCGGGGCCAATGCGGTGCAGGTTGCAGCGGTGTCGTTTTCGACGGATCCCGAGCTGTTGTTTGATTTTACGGAGGGCCAGAACCGGAGCGTGATTGAGGCGGAGCTGTCGAGCGCGGTATTTTTGGCGGGGCAGACGTTTACGCATCGGGCGCTTCAGCTGGTTTCGACGGCGCTGGTGTCGCCTGGGAGCGGCTCTGGGCGGCGTGCAGGAGCAGATCTGGCGGTGCTTGTGGTGACGGACGGGAATCCGTCGAACCGGAACCCTGTGCCTGGGGCTGTGTCTGCGCTTGTGGGCGCGGGGGCGGAGATGTATGCACTGGGGGTGACGAATGCGGTGTCGGACGAGGTGTTGTTGGAGCTTGTGAATGGGGAAGCGTCGCACGTGTTGCGGGCGGCTACGCTTCCGGGGTTGATGCAACGCGATGTGCAGCAGGAGGCGCTGAGTTTGTTGGTTTGTGATTCATAATCACCTGCTCGTTTTTTTCCTTTTCACATCTCTCGAAATGCATTTTTTTCGCGTTCTAAATTGAACATCATCTCACGACATGCTCTTTTCCCTAATCGCTTGGGTCTGGACTTCGAGTAGAGCACAAGTGTGACTTGTGCCAATGACACGACCTTTTCCATGTCACAATCGCCTCGCACAGCGCCAAAGATGTCGCTGAGACATACAAAGTGTCAGCGTCAAATTCTAGCTCCCACGCATCTCAACGCTTTCACTGCTTTCGCATGCATTCAGCGTCGTTAACTTGTCTCT